TGGGGAAGAACAGGCTTAGATTCAATACTGAGAAGACCAGAATTCAGTCCTTCCACCCCTTGTTCTGGAGAGTCTCCATCCTTAGTCTTGGAAGGAGCTGCACTTCCCCATTAGCTGTGGTGTGCAACTTGGGGGGACATTGTGAACACATAGCTTGTGTTCAAAGAGCAGGTGCCAGTCAGTGGTGGGTTTCAAATTTTTTTAGAACCTCTTCTGTAGGTGTGGCCTGCCTTGTGGGAGTGGCTTGTCAGCCATGTGACTTGGTGGCCATGGCCAACTTGTAAAATGTGGTGAAACTTACTTAACAATGCTCTTGCTTGGCAACCAAAGTTTTGGCTCAGAAATTCTGGCATATGAAGCACGCAAGTTTTAAAGTTGTCAAGTTACAAGATCCTTGCACTCCTAACCCTTTAGGGGACAAAAATCCAGGGGTGTTCAAACTTGACAGCTTTAAGACTTGTGGACTTCAACTCCCAGAATTCCTCTTCCAGTCATGTTGGCTCAGGAACTCTGGCACTGAAGGTGTACAAGTCTTAAAGCTGTCAAGTTACAAGACCCTTGCACCCCTAACCCTTTAGAAAAAAACCCAAGGGGTGTTCAAACTTGACAGCTTTAAGACTTGTGGACTTCTCTTGTAGAGAATTCCTCCTCTCACTCTTCATCTTGATGATGTGCGGACGGGCGGGGGGAGGGAGCTGGAACCGGTTCTAAACGGCACTGTAGATTTGTGGAACCTCTTCTGGCAGGAACCCACCCCTGGTGCCAGTTCTGGCCAAGAGGAACTTTGCACAAGCACACCTGATTTGCCAGTGTGCACTGGGAACTACTTCAGATAATCACTCGTGCACTGCTCACTTCACATTGAATTATTGCAACTCATTCTGGGACTTTCCATGAAGATTGTTCAGAAGCTGCCGCTGGTACAGAATCTGGTGGTGCAGGGAGCATTGAGCTTGCCTCATTATGCCCTTGTGGCCTCACTGGTCTGTAAATTGCACTAATCAATTTATTTCCAGGGACAAATCAAGGTGCTGGATACCATCTTTAAAGCCCTATGTGGCATAAGACCTGGCTATTTGAAGGATTCCCTGTCTCCAATTGTTTTTGTCTGCCAGTGCAATCAGGTGGTATAGGCATACTCTCTTTTCATCTTGTGGGGCCAGGAAGCATGTACTCTCTGTTGAGCTGCCTGCCCTCTGGAATGTTACTGTCCCAGAGGTCCAAATGTCTCCCAACTCAATAAAGTTCAGGAAACTGATTATTCTTATAGGTTCTGGAATCTGGAACATAGAAAAGACTGAGCTTCTGTTTGACAGTCTGTTCTTGATTTTATATTACTCTGGACATTGTACATGATTCTTTCTTTGTGTTTTGCATCCTTTTTAAAATTTTAACTGTAAGTCAGGTGGCCTATAAATTGTAGAAATATTTTTTTCTGTACATGTTAAATGTTTTGTATTTATACATGCAGTGGGAATTTCAGAGCCAGACACATATGCTCTGGTCACATGACCAAAAATAATTGGGAAGGGGCTTAGAGTCAAGATATATGAAGCTATTGAATTGTTGCATCTCCCAAAGAGAATTTTTTTCCTAGATTTGTTTTTCTCTATAGCCTCTGCCTGGCTCCAGCCCATTTTCAAATTAATCTTTACTTTTCTGGCTTCTCCCACCTACCAATTTATTTCAAATCTCCTCTGATTTTGGGGATTTTGTATGCAATAAATAAGCATTTAGAAAATGCATGGATGCTATGAAACCATGCGACAAGTGAAAGTTTGACCAATATATAACTTTGTATATACTAATTATTTTGCATTTTTATAGATTCCATATATCTAATGACTATTATAATAGAGATTTACCATTGCCATTAGACATGACATTATATTAGCAAGATGATCATTGGGTGTGATACTTTGTTTCATGTTTTGTTTTGTCTTGATTTACATATGAACTGTCACTCTGAATTATAAATATTGAGTAATTTCTAATTATCTGTTTTCACTCAGAAAAATCATTATTTTTCAATAAATTGTAGTAAATAAAATTATTTACACAAAACATGTACAAACATTAATGTTATATCAAATACCAGGTCAACTGTAAAATTACAAGTTAATTTTTCCCCTTAGTCATAGATGCTTCTGATTGTTATCGTACCCTGGTTTTAAGACAGATCAACCATGACAATAGAGCTAAAACTGCAATGGTCTGAAATTCAGCAGAGCCAGTCAGTTAAAACAGCAAGCTTTTGAAAAACAGTTCATTATGACTGTGGAACAATCAAAAAATTACTGGCATTATATGTTCAATAAAACATGTCTGACAGCTCTCAGATCAGCTTATGGTTATCAGTTACAGAAACAAATTTTCTGCATTTATCATTGTGGGATCAGAATTTATCCTTTTTTCATACTAAGCTTCTTTGGAAAAAGAATGGCAACAAGACAAAAACAAGCGGGCATGGCATCCACAGAAGGCAACCTGTCTTTTGCCAAATGGAGGGAGGAGTACTTAATTTTCAACAATGTGTTCAATTGCAGGGGATTTTTTGGGGAAACAACAGTAAGCTGTTGCAAAACTAGATCTGAACAGCTGGAGAATGGACAGCATAGCAGTATAGAATTCCCTAATTAGTATCTATTCTGATAGAAACAGACAGCACCGAGCCTTTTGAAACCTATGTATGACCAGCTGAATTCAAAAAATAATAATACTGTTTTCTGTGGATTCTTCCATTTCCAAGATCACAGGCTCCCTGAAAACACCATTAAGGACCTGTTTCAAAGCTCAGTTATTTTTTATCCTTCTCTCAAGTCGTACATGGTAATTGGTTGACATGCATGCTTGAAGATATATACCATGATATATGTATTTAATAGTGTTTATTCTTGTGGCATCGGGAAAAGTGCAATTTTGCCAGCATTTTGTTCTGCTTAGTTAAAAATAGATAACTGCACAGAAACACATTAAACATGAGGCAGCCAACAACTTCCTCTGATGATGCTATTTAGAAGTAAATAAACATTCATGCAAGCAACTGACAAGCAACACTCAATTAATGATAAACATTCATAATATACTTTACATTGCCTCTGAAAAGTTAATGAGACTACACATTATACAAATAGCTGGCAGAGTTGAATCAGAAACGAAGTTGCCTTTAATCCATGGTTAAAATATTTTTAACCAAATATAACATTATAATGTACACTTTTCACATCCAAATATATATTTGTCTGATTGTTACTCATTTGTAAATTTCTAATGATTCCTAAAACATGATTGCAATCCCAACCAACTAAGCAGACAGCTTACTTTGAACTCTGAAAAATGCTCTCATGTACAAAATGTATTTCAAGTTAAGAATGCAAAAGATATATTCCATTTTACAAAAGTCATTTCTGTCCTTTAATGGAAAAAGTGATATTTCAAAAATAATGTTTGATGTTCTGCAAATATATATAAGAATATAAACCAAGACTCGGAAGCTAGTGCTAAAATCTCAATCAAGATAGCATAGCTACATGTTCAAATGCTGTTCATATTAATAATATGATTTCCCTAAAATTAACTGTTAAATGTATTTTTTTTGAGGGGGGAATAGAACATTGAAATCAGAGAGTTTTCTTATTTCAAAAAGGTCATGCATGCACCTTTACATGACCATACATAGAAGTATTTTTGCATTGTGATTCCTCCTCCTCCTTTACTATTGTTGGAGTTAAAAGCCTGTTGGGACATTCAAAAATACTTTTTCATTTTCTTAAGGGAATGTTCCAGTGAGATGAGTACAAGTAAGATCACTTCAGGTTGACCTTTCAATTTCCTTTACAGCTTTTGCAGGTTTATTGTTCTGATTTTATCCTTCGTGGATTTAAATCACCATGCCAATATAGCAGTAAAGTTCTATTCATACTGGAGAGCTCTTAATCAGCCTTACTTCTCCCAATCCCCTTTCTTTCAAAAATTGGATATAAAACAGCAATTTCCAAAGAAGCTGTCTTTCCCACTTCACATTCCACTTGGTTACTCTAATTATGCATGGTATCTATTGGGCTAGCAGCAGATAGATCAACATTGTGAGGATGCTGAGAAATAATATGCTTTTATTATCTTTTTGGGGGGGAGAGAATGGTTTATATAGACACAGACTTCCTTGAGACCTTTTCAAAGGATTTTCAAGGCAACTGACTAACTGTGAAAACATACATTTTCACCTTGCTGAGATAGCAAAGGGAGTAATCTAGAGGATGGACAGCAAGTTCCATGGATTGCTTCATTTGGGTCCAAACAAGATATATTAGTTGATTATTAATTCATTTGTAATCCATTAATTATATATCCATTTATATTGTCATTCATTTCATACAATGACTCTAAGCAACAAATGCAACTGACTGTAACAATAAGGAATAAAAAAACACATAGTAAAAATAGAGAATTAAATGAAGGCAACTAAATGGCCATATAAATCGTTTAAGCAGATGGGTAGATTATAGATGATAGACAGATGATAGACAGATGATAGATAGATAGATGATAAATGATAGGCAGGCAGGCAGGCAAGCAGGCAGGCAGGCAGGATCAAATAAATCTCATAACCTTGTACAACCATTTATATGTGGGGCATAACAGAAAGGTAGTGCTTAGGATATTAATGACTGCTCAGTCTAAATAATCCTAATTACTCTGTTGAAGAACACTTAGAGACATTCATACAGAAAAAGATGAATGTCTTGTTTTAGACTACTTTCGATATATATCCAAGGAGTTATTTTTTGAAAATGAAAACCATGTAAACAAATAAGATGTAAATCACAATTTATTTTCCACAGCAAAAATATAATAGGTACATATATTAGTGTGTGTGTGTAGATATATATATACATATATAAAGACATTTACTTTTGTGCAAGTAAACTTCAAAATATGTCAAGCACATTAGAAAAATAGAATATATAACATCTTATACATCTTGTGAGCCAGTTTGAGTTCTATATTTTCGTATGGTCATCTTTAGCAGTTTGGGGAGCTACAAAAAATTGGTTCATATTTTGAACGGAAACTACCATATTTGCCAATTCACTACCTATAGTACGTAACTCCTGTGCCACACAGCAGAAGTCCCCTCTTAGTCCACAAACAGCATTTTTTATTTCTTCCAAAATGGTCATATTTTTTTCCTCAGCACTCAAAGGAAAAATATCTGGGTCAGGAGGAAGATTTGTGGCTGGAGGTACAGGATTAGATCCAGCAAATACTTCCTCCACTAAATTGTTTGCCCAGCTTTCACCAGCAGCATGACAGGTTCTGCTCCTAAAGCTATCATTTTTCTCAACAGAACATTTTGAATTATCAGATAGTAGACTTAAAATGCTAGCACTGTCATCTATATCAGACACAGGGCAAGGAGAAAAAGAATGTGCAATCCGTTCCTTGAGCTCTTCAATGAAAACAGAAGGTAATCTATGTGGTGAAGGCAAGTAGGGTCCATGGGGTGCAACAGAATAGGGCTGAGGGGTGTTGTTTGGTACGGCTGATTCTGGGGATGAGATGGAGAAAGTAGAAAAGGAAGAAGTTGTTTTGATGGAGCTGGCAGAATCTAAAAAAATAGACATATACATTGATACAAAAAAGATCATTGTTTGCCAAAATTATGTATTCATATTTAACACTTCTTTATGTTATATTAATTATAGATCTAAGTGCCTTAATTTACAATACACTATATAAAATAACACAGTTAATCTACCAATCTACCAATAAAGAAGAATATTTATAGCTCAGTGTTGAAATTAGGGGTCCTTGGTGCTCTCTGAGCTTGGTAGATGATGTTTCCTAGTTTGGATAATGAAACATCTGCAAGAAAACAACCAAGCTCAGAAAGCACCAAGGACCACACGATTAAGTTAAAACAATAAAATATGGAATTTAAAATATAAATATTCCAAATTCCATATTATATCTTTATATTTTTTATCCTCAGTGGATAATCTTGAGATGCAAGGGGCATATCTATTTGTATTATTGAACAGGTAAATTGAAGAAACTACCTGGGAATTTCTTTTGAAACAGCAATATATTGGCTATAAAATGCCTGGAAGTGATCAGGCTCTGCAATGATATCCAATCCCTATTTAAAATTCTTCTACCTCCCATATGCAAAGATGCACCTGGGTCACTTTAGAGATTGAAATCAATGAAAGAGGTGGGAGAGTAAGCAGGCTTTGAATATTGTGTTAAACTTGTAAAGTGAACAACTAATACTCCTACATCTCCTCCAAATGATGTTCCATGCTTTACAATTTATTACTATATCAAAAGTCAAATAAACAATTGTTGCCAACTGAGAGAAGTTAAAATTGTTACCAATAAACATTATTTTGGGAAATTAATTAAAAATCCTAATAATTCTGCTTTGAGTTGACACTGAAAATATAGAAGTGGTTTGACTTTGAGAATCAACCATCAAGAGTAAACAAGGAACAAGCAGTCAGGAAATAGACTGCCAACTAGCACATGAAAGAGCAGCCAAGATGTCCTTTGAAAAGATATTCAGATGACATGATGTATCTGTCCCTATAAAGTTCAAAATAATGTGAACAAGGTGACTTTGAAGAAGCCAGATAGGAAGAATATTGACTCTTTTGAGCTTACTTTAAGAAGACTACTGAGAACACATTGGACAGCTAAGAAATCAAACAAATGGATAATTGAATAAATCAACCAAGAGTTCTCACTCAAGGTACATATCAACAAGGTCAAATACGCTTGTTTTGGAGACATTATGCATTAAAGTCTTCTCTCTGGAGAAGGCTTTACTGGTGGGAAAGATGGGAGGAAAAAGGAGGACCAAAGGTGGATGAACTCAGTTATTGTGATGGTGAGAGCATTATTGGAAGATTTCAAAGTCCAAGGTAGGGACAGACCATCATGGAGAAAATCTGCTTATCTGGTCACCAAGGATCAATACTGAATTCTGTCAAAGAAAACAGGACTCTTATGGTTCCCTCCCTTAAAAATAAGATTTAAGAGTTATTTTATACACCATCTATACAGTATATCATTAATCCCTGTACTACCCAAAATAAAAACAGAATTAAAAACAATTACCGTATTTTCACGACTATAAGCCGCACTGAAAATCCTAAAATTTGATCAAAAACCGTCAGTGCGGCTTATAG